TATATATATATATATATATATATATATTTAAGCCCTGTCGCTTGAAAGGGAGGTGGACTTTCCAAAATGTTGCAGATTTTGATTTTTTTATTAAAAGCATCAAGGTTGAATGTTGTTGCAATTGATAGTTAATATCCTTATTTCAAGGCGGACTCCCATGCCTTTCAAAAGGGTGCAAGGAATCGCCATACTGGGTCAAAGTGGTAAATTTTTTCTGAAAAAAAAATATTGATAGCAACAAGGTTGAATTTTTATTTACTATTTATTTTGATATCAATTATCGAGAAATATGATTCCCATAGCTTTTAATGGTCACGAAGACAGCCAAATCTACCCGAACACGTACAATTTTCTTACTCCATGTAAAATTGTTTTTATTTGGATAGGTATATGGCTGCTTTTGTGACCATCTAAAACACTCTATTTTTTACATTATTTGTTTACTTATTCATATTGTGTTATTTTAACACACATTAAGAAATGTTGAATATCAATTTGATACAAAATCTTTAAATAACAATCACATTATGTTGGATTAACACTCGAATACGTTAAAAAAATTCAACACAAACTGTTAACAAGAACATGAATAATTATTTCTAACACAAATGCACAATTTTTTTTTACCGTGTAATATATTTCCATTGAGTTAATTAAGTTTTAATAAGTATATATTTTTACTGAGTTCATTAAGAGTTCATTAATAAATTATACACAATTAGACAAATTCGATATTATTTCATTTAAGATCCCTTTTTGAATAAACCGCGGAAATTCGCTTTTAATGTTGACCTAAATCCCATAATTGACATATTGCATCCGGGCAATGAGCTCGGATTTTCAAATAAGACAAAGGAGTGACGCGAAGTAAATACTATATATATAGCGTTTGACCTCTCCCAACGATTCAGTTATTTAATAGCCGAAATTTCTAGATTTTACATTCAGGTGCACTCACCCTTCGCAGATGTCAATCTACGTTAACCAAATTGAACATGTTGGATATATTATTGAATGTGAATATCGTGCACACAGAGTGTAGCCTAAATTACGCCCATTTATGAAATGCACACGAAGATATTTCCGGATAAGGTAAAATAATATTTGATCTCGGCTAGGGGATGACCCGGTTTATACAGTTTCATAATAAATGAAGTGAGCATGTAGCTCTACATTTATCCGCAAGCAAGTATGGTTCTAAAATTAAAAATTGTTTAAAAGTACGTTTTTTAAACATCAATAGATGCTGTAGTTATTTTTTGCTAAGTAATTACAGTTTTGTGTTCATTATGTCATAAAATATTTAATGTGATATATGTGATGATGTGACTTCCGTAAAAGAGGAATCCAATTATTTCTATGTAGAGAATGTTTAATTTATTTAATATTCTGAGTATAAATCAAACTGATAGCTAATTATCGAGCAATATAATAATATCGTATCGTGACGATGCGCGAATGATTAATCCAAACATGTGACTCAACCGTAATGATCCATTATGAATTATTTTACAATATTAAATTTAATTTAATTACTAAATTTGTCTCGATTTGTTCTGTAAAACATATATCGTGTTGAAATTGGAAAAAATGAGAAAACATACGATTGTCAATTCGGCATCGAAGCAATGAAAGAACATGAACACGTTGCATGGGAAGACAAAAAAGATGCAGAAGGAGAGGACATTAAGCCGTATTTACGCCTGGTAAGATTTTGCGTAGGCGAGCGTTAGCAATTACGATGCGAGGAGCAGCCGATGAGCAAAGTCGCCACCGCCGCCTTAACGAGTAGGAGGGGAGACCTTCGAGCCTTCGAACCCCCTTTCTCTTTAGCGTTGCCGATCGTAGTGTCTCGCGAATTTTAAGGGACACCTTTGTAGGAGACGACAGCCGCCGTCTCTCCTCACACAGTTTTCCCGGTCGTTCTTGCCCAAAAGGAAGGCGTAAAGAGAAAGGGGATGTGGGGCAAGAGGAGGGCAAGAGGAAGGAGTCATCCTCGGGAGCAGCAACCTGCGGACTGGCCTTTTTATCGCGCCGACCGGAGCCGGCTTTACGAGGAGTCCCATAACGGAAATTTACGGTTCTCCCTTACCCGCCTCTCCTTCTTCGTCGGCCTGCAGAGCCTCTTCTCTCTTCTCTATCTTTCTTCATCTCTCACGAAGATCTCGTGAAACTGGCCAATCTTTCGTCGCGTTTCGTGCCTCCTCTTCCTTGCCTGGGTGACGTTTTCGAAGAGTGTCTTCGATCGTGCGATGATCAGCGAAAATCTTCGCGGTGAGGAGTCGGAAAGAATTAACACCGATTAATTAAGCTCCTCCGATTTAGTCGCTCTGTGTGGTCTCGCGTGACACACAGACGACGACAATCGAGACGGTCTTAAAGACATAATCGAAGATCAAAATGATTAAAGGATCAGTTGGACCGGTCTATATCTCTCAGTCGTGCGACAGAACAATCGATAAATGATTCTTACATTCATTTTTGCAAATCGACGATAAGATTCACAAAAATGTATTCTCTTTTTAATACGCTATATCACAATGTAATATAATAGATTACCTAGAAATATAAAATTTCTTCTATACCTTTAACTGGCGTATGAATGTTTTTATTTTTTTAAATTCTTTATAATTCAGAAATATATACATATAATGCGGCATAATGTTAATTTTTACTTTTTAGTTGTATGTCGATATAAGTATATAATGTACGAATTGTAGAATTATGAAAATCTTAATCTTATTTAATTAATGATCGATATTTCCTTATTCATTAGTTTATTAAACTTCTCAGTGAGATATAGAATTTTATTTTTTATTTTAGTTTAAATAGATTTCGCTTTAATTTAAAATGTCCTCAAGGGGAAGAAACGCAGAACTACGGATTGTTTAATGCACTTTAATGATGGAATCATAACACTTACACTTTGCTTCTTACCGTCTTCATTCTGTAACGTTGTTACACAAATGTATCGAGTCACATATTTGCGTCGCCACGTTAATGGCTATAGTTTCTGTAATACGGGTCTATATATCTATCGGGATATATTCTTGTTCTCAATGATAGCCAACTGCAAGGAGGGTGATTAAAGCCCATGCCAACAAATAAGTATCTCTACGTTGAAGAGAGTGCCGATTGCCCGGCTGTCCACGACGGACCGACAGTCACCTGCGGCAGCACTACATGCGGTGCATACGAGGAAAGGTGCATACGATATCTCGAGATCAGTATCTCTCGTGCCCTTCTCCATCCAGTCGCGGTAGACGCACATCAGTGCGCGTTTTCGTGTGTGTCACCCGGCTGATATATTTCCGACTAATGACTGTGAGGGATAATTACGATCCCGTTGGCGAACCATTTCGCTCGCGTTCTGTATCGACGCCGCACTGCCGGCTGATAGCTCACCCCGTACTGCCGTAATTCTCGATTGGCTTGATCGCGTCTGATCGTGCCCATTACGCCAGATAAATGTATCGCACTGGTCGACGATCGCGCGAATCGCGAAACGATATAAAAGAGTATAATATATCCGTATACTCGTCGATGTGTATGCTCATCGAGACGTCCCGCTGGTTTTTCTCTCGCGAAGAGCAAGTAAAGTTGAGAGCCGTTTTCTTCACATGGCACCGATTGCGATTCGGTAAAAAGTTATTATGAGAAATAAACGATTATGCGTTGGCATTAATTCCACCGCGACGACGTCAAGGCGGTAGATATTTTGATACGATTTAATCAACCAAGAAACACGCCAGAGAAATACGATATCACGTTTAATAGCAATCGTGTCAAATGTTACTTGCTTCGTTATCATCAGATATAATTTTTATGTGAGAAATATATTGATATTACTATATGGAATATAGAAACTCCTCCTATCTACTTACTGCAGCCATTTTGAATTGTGACGTCAAAAGCAAGAAAAATACGTAAACAAAATTTTCTTATAAATTGTATATTAAAACGTATTTTTTAATTAAACAACATTTGCAATCAATAAAATACGTTTGTAAAGTATATCGAAAGCTTTTTTTCTGTGTTCTAGTAATTAATAAACAAGCATATATTTTAAATTGAATTATATTTAATCAGAAATCGAAACAAGTTATGTGGTATTTATGAATTGAGAGAAATAAATATAATTTTATTCTACGATTTCTCTCGTATTCCAAAATAAAATGAGAGTTTTTGATTTTATTTTACAAGTGTAGTCTTTATTAAATGTAGATAAATATTGTGTTTTATTAAAAAATATTTCTGTTTTAATATATTTTTCAAGAATTTTCATTATGTGTTTCCTCATTTCCGACATCAATCCATAATGAAAAATCCATAATGAGGGATGAGAAGCCTTAATATTTCAGCATTATCAAGCAAGTGCCGATTATATATCGCTATACTCCAGACGATTTGATCTTGGCACATTTCTTCCAATATTCCACACCTGTTTTCGTTAAAAAAAAAATGTTAATATATTTTTTTCTAACTTTTATGAGACAGTTCTTATCATATATCTATTTATGCAACAATTTATTATCAACTCAGATATAAACTTAATAAAACGCGACAATCTTGAATAAAATAATAATTTTCACATTAAATTGAATTATTATTTAGAGATTCTCAACCAGATGCAACAAGATGCGACACATTTTTACGTCCCAGAGCATCCGCCACTTAAGCATCCGCCCGTTTAATTGCGTCTCTCTCTATTCCCGAAGAATTATAACGCCTAGATGGCAAGACGAGGAATAATTAATGCCCGATACAGTATAATTACCGGTACTAATCCCGAGCACTTTAATCTTAGGCGTGGGTCGAAAAACCGTGCTAATTGACCGGCGCGCGCGTGTTAATAACTGAGTGTCGCGGCATATTAAGCGGATTATTCGCTATGAATAAGCGCATTATCGCGCCGCAAGCCTTGCGCGATCTTCGGAACTTTTCTCTCAGGTACTCTCACATTCGCCTTCCTGATTTTAAACGACGGTAAGCGTAAACGCAACAAAAGTAATACAAAAACGTGACGACGAAGGTGGATTATCCACTGTCGCGATTCGTTATGCCTCAACACTTTTTCAAGTACTCCGTAGTTCGTAATGCCGCCGATTACGAAAAGCTATAAAGAGGAAGCGGAGAGAAAGATACTATTATATCAATATTTAAAAACGTAAACTAATTAATTTTTTTGTACAAATATGTAATGAGACTGAACATATGACTGTAGCGTAGAACTGTATAATAAAGAAAAGTCGTAAATTGAAATAAAGATGAGAAAAGCTTTCATTAAACTCGTTTCAAAATTTTTATTCTACTAAAAAATTATATGTAAAAATTTTGTGTCATATTTTGATAAAAATTAGTGATAAAAGTTCAATATTTTAAGAATACATAGAACAATCCAAAATATATCGCAATATTATTATAAAGTATAAAAAGAGAAAAGTATGTAAATATATTAGTAAAAAAAGCTTCAACTTGTTATTTTAAAAATAAAGAAAGGAAACATACATTTTACTTTTAACTTCGACGAGATATAGTCATGTATATTACATTGTTATCACAACATGACTTGCGGATTTTATATTTTACTAAAGTTTCAATCTTACACTCCTGGACATATTAGAATTTTATAGAATATTGGCAGATCTCTCTCACATAATCGGTTTTCATTTTATATTTAACTACATAATCAACGAGTATTAAACGTAATCAATGAAGAATAAAATTGGGAGGCTATTTATTTCTGGTCCTTTGGGAATTCGTTGTTAAAAATCAAATCGGTACATGCAACCAAGTAATTTGAATAAAGAACACTTTTACATAAATTAATTAACGTTCCAATTACTGCGCTCTAACTCTCATTAGCCCTGATTCTCATATTTTAATTAAAAAAAAATATATATATATATATGCTAAGTAACGTGTATATATATTTACAGTAAAATATATTATAGTTGCGGAACTTGGAAGATGGTTCCGGCTGTATGTTCGATATACCTGTTTAAAACGATTGGTGATGAGATTAGAACAGCTCTAAAAAGATATAAAGATATAGTCGAGATATAGCCAATCTGGGATAGGAAATGAGATTGTAAGAAAACTCTTGCTCGTGGAGAGACTGCTCGAAATGATTTCATCCGATAGATAACAGGCTTGTAAGAGGACATAGGCATAAGTTGGCTATCACGCTCGTAGTCGCATTCGTCGCGCGTGGTATCCAAAGTTATCGAACACTTAGCTCTTTTTTACAATTCATATTTTTCACGCCGGGAACTCGTTTCTCGTTTCGCAGCTACCTCATTTTCTTCGCGCATTTTGTAAACGCGCGTTTCATCCCGAAGCCCGGAGACTTGATATCCGAGGCCGATCGCATGCGCGTGGCATGACGTACCGTGCTGTGTGAAATTAGCCGGGTAATAGAGATAGAGCTTGTACATACGTGCGTATACACATGTGTACAGAGATATATCTGGGCGTAAGTACCACCGTAAGTAAGATCCGATACTATCGCGACCGCCTACGCGCAAAACGTTCCTGCGTTCCTGCATCGTCATGTCGCGCTGATAGAAGCGGTTCTTTTTCGTTTTTCCTTTTTCGGATACGTCATGCGGTGGCGCGTATTTCTCCCCGTGTCGCACACCGCACCTGCCGATAGGATCGTTTATTTAACGGAGTAAATTTGGCATCGCGATGGCTATTAATCGATTACGGTATCGCGGCGCGCGATCTTCCTCGGCGTCATGTCACTTTGCAAAATTGCCACGTCATTTGGTGACACATGAAATGACATAATTTACTATCTGCGAGCAAACAGTTTTATTTAACGATAAGCGCAAGATAAGTATATATACATATGTATATATATATATTTTTTTCTTTTTTCGAATATGTTAATTTTACATTTAGTTTAAATGCTGAAGAAGATACATATTTTTTTCGATTTAAATCTAATTAAAAAAAAAAAAAATAAAATGGAGAGGTAAAAGTTTCAAATTGGAGATTAAGAATTAAATTGATTGCGCGCAAAGACGTCATTCAAATAGCTTGGTTGCTAAACTTTAATAAAGTCGTCACTTCAAAGCGCAAATCAAGTTGCATATACAGGTGTCATTATAGATCGATTGGTTATCAAACGGTTGAAAGTCTCCGACGTTCCGTGGAGTTCCTCCGTGTGACGCCGCAAGGATCTAATCGATGGAGAAGTGCTCAGCATGCGTGCGAGAGACCGGATACCTCGAGGTCGTAGTTGCAAGAAAAGTAGGCGCACACGCGTCGGTCAGCTTCCCTTCGCACTCGCGCGTGTTTCTTTCTTGCCAGCTCGCGCAAACACGCCACATCTTTCTCCCGCATCCTCTTTCACGCTCGAACTTGTCTATTGTTGATTTCCGGTCTCCAGCTTCTCTCGTAAACTGGTTTTTGTCACGATCTCTAATGCCATGTTGCCGGACAAACGCGCGATCTCGATCGGCGTTCGATTCCGACGGTCCCTATCGACCGTATAATAACCACGAACGGCATACATGTTTCTTAATTCGCAATCTGTCTTGTTTTTGTTTTATGAAAGTGTCCACAGTGATGTGAAATAGCGCCTTTATGACACGAGCGACATTTAGACTGAAAAATTATAAAGCTTATAATTAAGGTTTGTGAGTTATCGAGAGACTAGCCGCGACTAATAAGATATATATATATATCTCGTTATCTACGGAAAGAAATTGGAAAACACAAATAGGCGGTATCATTTTAATTAGAACGTCAAATATAGAACACACACATATACACATATACTTTAAGATACATATATAAAAAATATTAAATTATATATTTATCAAGCTATTAGTTAATAAAATAATTAATATTGCTAAAGCATGGAAAGTTATTAAATGATATGGAAGAGAAAAAATACATTATGACGTTTTAAGCATAAGTGATATACAATTCCGACATATCTTAATCCGCAGAATCTTAAAAATTCCCGAGTTAACCTGTTTTTTTTTCTAAACGTCGTGCATATTAAGCGAGCAATGCTTGGCAATGGTTGGCGTCTTCGGCAAAGTTCGTCGTACCGTGTCTCATCGTCCGCTCGCGGCTGTAATTTACGAGCGCATAGCGCTCGTTAATCTTCTCTCTCGCGCGATCCGCGTGAATCTGCGTGGATTTGCACCGGCTTGGCGTTCATTACTAGAAATTAAATGTTACCGCTGGAAGCGCCGATAATTGTAACGGTTCGACGCCTGTACATGTTTCAATTAGCGCTGTGCTACGAATGCACTCATGAATCAAAGCAATCGAGCGGGTGCTTCGCGCACCCATCATCAATGACGATTATGCGTTTCCTTTCGCACAAGGATATTGATCCTTAATCGATCGATCATTACCTCAACGTCGAATATTGAACATAATAACTTTATCCTTTCACTAATTTTTCGACACATTAAATGAAAAGAGCTGTGTTTCTTACGGCGTTATTGAATTAAATTGAATCCCGTGCGAGATAGAACTCGCGTCATTAAAAAAAAAAAATTTAAATTGCAGAGATAATTCTGAACAAACGCAGCTCAATGAAATTATCCGCGGTCTTAATAACGTTCGGTGAGAGCAAGTTACGTCGTAACGATACTTATTATTACCGAGTATAACGATCGAATGACGATGCCAATTCGCGGCAACGACGACAACTCATTTCAGTCCGGGGGGTATCTCGGTAAACGATCGATATTTTTCCGTGAGATAGACAAGTTCCGCTACGTAAAAGATTAAGAGAGATAGATAGATAGATAGATAGATAGATATATAGATAGATAGATAGAGAGAGAGAGAGAGAGAGAGAGAGAGAGAGAGAGAGAGAGAGAGAGAGAGAGAGAGAAAGAGAGGAGTGGAGATGAGAATGCACGGCGAACATATAGATCAGGAAAAGGACAGTGGAGGGCGCCCTCTGAAGCGGGGGGGAGGGGAAGGGGAAGGACGCTGTCGTGGTAAAAAAAATGGGACCGGTCCTCGGACCGTAGAAAGCCGAGCATGGAGGCGGCGTGGGTGGAGAATGGGGAGCGGTGACAGGTACAATCGCAGCCGGTTCACCACGTAGAATTGACAGAGAAAGGGGAGGAAAAAGGGGCCGGGAAATAAAGAAATGTAATAAGAAAAAAGATCGATAGGATCAACGGAGAACCGATTGGCCAAGTGGCGCGCGATGCGGCACTTATAATTTCTAATGGATCGTGCGAGTTTATTCTGTCTGCGTCTCGGAACTGTTTTCCGACCACCGTTCGCAATAATTTATATTCGCATTGGCGATTGGCGCGCGTGTATGCGTTGAAAAAGCGAGAAAATGGAATCGCGTTACGCGGTGCCACGCCACATCGCGGCGCGGCCGTTCACGGAAAGGAAAGGCAGTTGCGACGATGACAGCGCGGGAGGAGATCTATAAATCGTTACGAAAGACTGCTTCGATATTCTTCCGATGTTCGATATTCTTTCTTCTACAGCTTGATTTCGCACAACAGAGAAAGAAAAAAAAAATGAAGGAAACTAAACTTTTAAGGAAGGAATTAAACTTTTATTTAAAATTAGAAATACACATTATTTAATACTATTTAAACTTGGTGGAGTAATAAGAAATATTTCAATTTTAAGGTGGTACATTTTTTTTATAATAAACAAGTTTTTTGCGGTTGATGATGTATAATTACGTGAAAAGACTTGCGAATCGGTTTAAATATTAATGACTTATAAAAAAACAGAATTTGTAGGCATTTAACTGCGTATATAAGCAAAATATAAAAAAGATTATATGAATTTCGAAAAAATTAAGTTATTTGACGGCTGAGATATTCGTGAAGTGAAGCTATAATGAAATAGAGTAAGCGAAAGAAGCACGATTTGTCTCGTCGGCGGTTTTTCAAGGCTGTATGTTGCTTAGTACTCTTAGAGTATCATAGCATCATCACGTTCTCGGATAAAGATAACGAAATGGTGAGAGTTACCTCCAAGAATGATATGAAGGTTGCAAAAATAAGAAACTTATATATATCAGCGGAATTTTCTATTTTAATTTTTTAAAACCATGTTTTATGTCCACCCAATGGACATTTGATAGCAATATGCATACATCGTCGTGCAATTTTTTTTAGTCGTAATATTGTTGTTTTGCAAAAGTTTTATTAAAGACAAAATAGTAAATCATACATATATTAATTTAGTAATAATCTTTTCTAAATATACATAATCCAATAAATCATCACTTATATCTTTAAAAAAATATCTTTAAAAAATATTATCGAAACTTTATTAAATATTAGATAAAAAAATCATATGTTAATCTGATAATAATACTATTCCTATATAATCTATGGAAATATTTTGGAAATAAAATATCTAAAATAAGCGCAGTATATATACGAGATGACAGACAGCGTGCAAATGTGTCGGATCATTAATCACGTGGTAATATCATATTAATTAATCTTCGAGTGCATAGCAAGTGAACCAAACTATTCCGGTCGATAGGACTGATATTCGCATTCGAACGGAGAGAACGCCTGGAATCTCGGTGTGGTCCGAATGCTTAAGGAGATCCGAAAATGGATTAATTTAATTATTGATGCATTTTCGTCCACGCTGCTGCAACTAGTATCCATTACGGCACGCTCGCTGATACGGTAAGCTTGTGTATTTGAAAAATTGTGTCAGCGGATATTGTTATGGAGATAGTGCATCGGCAAGCCGATTACCCGAATATCCCTTACACGGAACGTCGATTATTCCATTACCGCTTATCCGGGATATCGACCGCACCGAAAAGGATACGGCTACGATGTACGTCCAGCGAACGCATAATGCGCGTATAATAAGGTGTATAACTGAAACTCTGTTCAGACACATGACGTTAACATTAAGCTGATCATTAATATGCATTCTACTGATAAGAACTCGATACGATTTTCAGTGAATTTGGATGCTGTGTTGGAATATCAATTAATTTATTTATATTGACCAGTTTCCTGTAATATTGAAATAGTAATAGTAGTTAGTGTCTTGTTACATGTATAAAATCTATCGCCTCTTATTAACATAACACAATACACATGTATATATATTATAATAAATGTATACATATTACGACAAAGATAGAATTTGTATTCAACATATTTTCAAATTCGATTTTTTCGAAAATAAAAATTTATTAGAAAAAAAATCAGTCATTATTAACTAGATTAAAGTTTTGTAACATGCACGAGATTAAGCAAACAATCCGCTGCCAAAAAAATATTTTTAACAAATATTTTATGATACTATTACCTTTCTCTCGCTTTCATTTTTGGGTCAAGTTGAAAGGAATTGACGATTTCACCATAATCACA